TCAACCTGAACTGACATAAGAACAATTGCTGGTTTATTCCAGTTAGCCCCTGGCCTCACTGTAGCTGCTGATGACAAGGTTCCCCAAGGACCCTGGTGGTGTAGTGGTGACATGTTGAACTGTTAACCACAAGGTCAGCAGTTCTAACTCACCAGCTGCACCGGCATGTTTCTGAGACTTTCTTGGTGATATGCCCTTCCCCTCTGCTCTCGTCTCCCTCCTTTTAGCTCTTGTAAGTTATAAGATAATGTGGAGAGAGAGAGAGAGGGAGAGAGAGAGAGAGAGGCCACCCTCCAGGGAAATTTCCCTTGCATGGGATCAGGCCTGTGACCTGATTCAAAGTGTATCCCATCCTGATCCCCTGATAATTTATGGACGGATCACATCAGATCACATAATCGAGATGATCACATCATTAGACAACTGCCAAACCCCAGAGAAGGATGGCCCGGCCAAGCTGACACCTGTTTGCGTCCAGGGCCAGGAGTCCATCTGTGCCAGCACTTTATATTTTTGATGATTTTTGTTTGTTGTTCTTTGCTGGGAACAGGTGGGATCAGCTTTTCAAAGTGCCAACTCCAGGCAAGAATTGCAACTGATTGCATCAAAGCCCTCCCAGGAGCATGTATTTCATGTGGAAAACTTTAACGCCTTGAGGGACATTCAGAATCAGCTGAAGGAGAAGATCTTTGCCATCGAGGGTAAGTCAGAGATGGAGCCACTGGCCGGGAACCCTCACGCCTGCCTGCTTTCCTTCTTCGAACCTGGACCCTGATGTCGTAGGTTCAGACCCTTCCCTAAAGCCATGGGTTTCCAGCGTGGTTGTTGTTGGAGGCCCGGGGGTTGGGGGGCGTGGAATCGGTTCCGACTCATAGACCCAATGCCCAACGGTACCAAACCCTGCCCGGCCCTGTGCCATCTCACAGTGGTGCCTGTGGTTCGGCCCATTGTTGCAGCGTGAGCGGTCCCCCATCAGAGGTGGTTTGCTTGGGCCACTCGTACACTGGAGTTTCTCCCATAGCGCTGCCCTTGGCCACCCCCTATCCCCCACCTGAGACACAGGTACTCTGCCTTCCCCCAGGGACACAGTCCACAAAGGCGAGTTCCTTTGAACTGGAGCTGTCTCAAGAGGGCTTCAGTGCTGTGTTCTCCCCTGTGAGTAAGGGAGAAAAGAGGCGGATGAGGGGAGGCAGAAGTGGGTGGCTACATGAAACTGGGGCAGGTATGGGGTAGAATAGACTCTGTTTATTCTCCCAGCCTGCTCAGCCTGGGCTCTCTTCCTCCCAGGATGGACCGGTTCTGGGGGCCGTAGGGAGCTTCAGTTGGTCTGGAGGGGCCTTCTTGTACCCCCCCAAGATGAGCCCCACCTTCATCAACATGTCTCAGGAGCACGTGGACATGGAGGACTCCTACCTAGGTGAGAGAAGCCTGGGGCTGAAGGCAGGGGACAGGACGGAGGGCGACCTGCCTCCGAAGGGCCGGACAAACAGAGGACTGGCCCCCCCACAGGTTATGCCATCGAGTCGGCTCTTTGGAAGGGGGAGCAGAGCCTGGTCCTGGGTGCCCCCCGCCACCAGCACACCGGAAAGGTTGTCATCTTCACCCAGGGGCCGAAGCGATGGTTACCACAGGCTGAAGTCACAGGGACCCAGGTTGGGTATGGGGGAAGCTGGGGTGGACCGCGAGGGTGGCCAGGGGGGTTCTGGGGTCATGGTGAGATGATCCTGGTGCCCAGGGAGAGGTGGGACCTGGCTCAGAAGGAGGTGTCTCTGGGAGGGACAGGCCAGGTGACTTCAGGCTCTGTCCTTCAGATCGGCTCCTACTTCGGGGCCACCCTCTGCTCTGTGGATGTGGACAGAGATGGCAGCACGGACCTGGTCCTCATTGGGGCCCCCCATTACTACAAGCAGACCCGTGGGGGCCAGGTGTCGGTCTGTCCCCTGCCCCAGGGGGTGAGTGGCTGATGGGA